TGAACTGCAGACGAGATTGTTATCGGCCTCCAGTTTTTCGGATCTGTTCTGTCACCGGACTTTGGTATCAGTGTTGTCCCGGACTCGTACCAGACCGTAGGTGTTAGGCGGCGATATAATAATAAGGTGAAGAGGATTGCGAGTTTGTTATGCGGACATCTCTTCACCTGGTTTACGGTTATCCCATCGGGACCGGAGGCGGAGTTCCTCCAGTTCCTCAGCAGCCGTAGCCGCCGGAAAATCCCCCGATGGCTGGATTGGCGTCGCTATCGCCGGAGGTGGAGATGTTGGTGGGCAGGCACGATGGTAATATCCTGCAGGACAATCACCTTCTTCCCTTCGGCAGGCTGAGCTGATACTTCCTCCGGCGGGGATGGACTGATGTTTCTTGTCCTCCTCTTCACCGTTTGGAAAAGTACGTTTGGGGATGAGGATGGGAGTCTGTTTTCGCCTGAAACAGGCGACGGTGTTTAAAATAGGTCTCAAGGGACAGTTCACCTTGTGAATCTTCGGCAACCCATAATACTTGGGAATGACACCATTATGACATCTAAGGCTGTTATACACTCNGTTTTAAGCGCTCTCATTGGCTAAGAATTGGATTTATCTATCGGATAAATTTATCAGGAGGTGGTAAAAGTGGGCCTAAGCATGTCTTTAGATAAATTTTGGGTCAATACGAGAAATGAATATCCATCTCCATGCGAAAAAGCGATGAAAATGTTACTCCCTTTCGCAACAATGTATTTATGTGAAACGGGATTTTCAGCTATGATTGTTATAAAAAATAAGTTTAGAAATCGGCTTTCGGTTGTTTCACCACTCCGACTTAGCCTGACTAATTTAGAGCCCACAATTGAAAAGTTAATATTAATTAGAGGAGCAGCAGCAATCGTCACATTAATGCAAAATAAACAAAAATTAGATATTTAATTTTTTGCTAAACTTAGGATTGATTTTTTATTTTGTTTATATGCAATGATTATGTGATTTTTTTTTAATTTTCTGTTTTTTGTTAAAGATTTATTTATTTATAAATTATAATAAATACTTATTTTTATATTGACGTACTGTTGTAAATAAATGATAATAAAAATATTATAATAGTAGTTCATTAATACCTATTGAAATTTTTTGTTCAAAATAGTTGACCGTCCGCGCAATTTTTGGACAAATTCTAGGCAGGTCTAAAAAGGTTGAGAAACGCTGATCTAGAACAACAATAAAAAATTTAAAAATCAAAAAATGGGGGGCTAACTTCCCGCACTCAGATCTGGATCTTTATTTTGATCTATAAACAAGACCAAGAGATACAATAACTTGTATGGATGCTTTTGCAATTTGACCGTTGATCAATTCGGTTAAATTACATAAAAAGTCCGTTAAAAATCGTAGGCGTTTAAAAGAAATGTTATTTTGTTCCAACATACTTGAGTTAACTAAATATGTTCAGGGTCGTATTAAAGTTTTGAATTAAAAATTTAAATTTTGAGTAAAATAATCATAATTGAAAATTATTTAATTTTTAATTAATTTATAACAACACATTTTATAAACTTCCCGAAACGAAGATGCTTTAAAAAAATGATGGTAAAGTGTAAAAGAAAAAAAATATGTTGCGGTCCTGTTTGCCTTGTATGATGTCTATAACCGACAAAATAGGGTGAATCACAAGGTCAAAATGACTTCAGATAAATATTATACCGCAAAAGGAAAGACAAGTAATAAATTACTTTTTTTACTCTTCTTTTTTGTAACATATGATTTAGGAAAATTTCCAAACTTTCAAATAACGCAACTTCATTAACATTGTATAATATCCCGAAGAAATCCTCCTCCGGATACCACCAGCAAATTTATATTTAGATCAAATATGTAAATACACGTGTGACACATCCCAGATGTTCGTCAACGGTTTTGGAAACAAAGACTTCTGATTTAAACCCAGTTTCAAATGAATAATCCGAATTCGTATTAAAACGATTAAAAAGGACCCTTTAAGTGCCTTTGCGCGATGACGTTCTTAGCCGGAAACAACAAAAAAAAAACATTCAAAACCATTAATTTAAAAATGAACCAAACGCGAAACCAATCATAACGCTGCATTCAAATCGTTCCCACCAATCAGCGTCGATACGTGTCCCCCCACGTGTAAATAACCGTCTTGAGGCCGGTTTCTTTATATAAAAGAACCAAACCAGTGCAAGTTTCTTGTATTGTCCTGTTGAAACCTTTCAAGTGCTGCGGAAATAACCCAACTTTAGTTTTAAATTTTGTTGTGAAATTACAGCAGTAGTGATAGCGTTGTTATTGTCGATATTAAGATCTAATCTGATAAAAAATATAAATATAGGAGTTATAAAGTGACACATTGTCTTTGTCATCAACAGGTTAGTATATTAGTACGCAAAAAACTCTAAATCAGTTTAATTCCTTATTTACAGCTTTTTTTTTTGAACAATGTCGGACGTCGCAAGTGATTTACCAACTCCACAATCTCGTAAGTAAACAAATTTCTTTTTACTTTGTAAGAAGTATTGTACCCCACACGATGTTTAACATAATTTACTTCGTTTATTTGCAATTGTCTGTACTCTGTACAGTTTCAAATAGTGCGTGGGATGGTAACCTCCTTTTAAAAGAACAAAGACGTTTGTCTCATGGCATTAAACTGGTTGGATGTTTTATTTGATTTGTTTCGTTATCTTTAATGTTACTTATATTGAGTACTAAGTATAATTTGTTTATTAACTCGTTTTAATTTATTGAAACATTTATAATTTTTTTTTCAGTATATTATTTTTGTTTAGGGTATTTTCATAAATATCCTCATAATAAATCATCCTGACAATTTTCTCTTTTGCTAAAACCACCTGTGACCTCCCCGTTTTCAAACTGAAATCCATTGTAACAATAAAAAAATTTAACTGAGCATGAAATGGGGAAATATCTACGCTGTGGCCAACCTGTGGCTTTGTGACAAACGCAGGCTCCTTGAGAGAGTCGAAGCCGTGCCTCTTTTTCTTGTTTCAACCCGTTTCGTCCTCTTTTTTGGAGTTGCTGCGACCGAGTGCAAGCCGTGCAAGCCCACCCGTATATGGATAGACGACATAACCTTGTTCTTCATAAAGGTTTCTTTTACCTTCCTTATTCCCCGTACAATATCTTAAAAACTTTATACATGGTCAATTTTTTATGTTTTTAGCTTAGCTCAACTATTAATGTAAAGAAAGCTATCAAACCCAGATTTTTATTTAATGTAGTAATAAAAGTTCATTCTTCTTTTATTTTAACATTGAACGATGGTGTTAAAAGAATTCGTGATATGTTTTAACAGTTTAACAAACCTTTTTATTATCTTTATATATTGACAATTAATTATAACAACATTCACTTGTTTTATATTATACACAGGTGTCCGGAAATTGCGTTCATATATTTCATATATTCTATAGTTCGTTTTCTTTCTTTAATACTTGTCAATGTAAATTTTTTAGTTTCTGTTGGTATTATCTAGGACCCTTATAAAATTTATGTTGTTTCCCTGATTTTTAGTAACATTTTCAGTAACTAAATAATTGAGGTTAAAATACTAATAAATTTTTAGATAAATACGATTTTAACCAAGTACATATTTATTGTAAAAACGTGCTACATACTAATTAAATAGAACAAAACACCTTTTGTAGGTAAATAAATGCCAAATAAACACCCCACAACATTTTTTTATGCACGTTTTCTTTTTGAATAACGAAAGCTTAAACGTCAGTGTGACATATTTATTTTAAAACATCATATAACAAAACTCCCTGTTAGTTTTGCCAACTTTACAACAATTTGACAGGTATTATAGGAAAAAAATGAACTATACATAAATTCTCATTTCATAAATTCTTACCGTTTGTTTATGCCTTTTATAAGTGTAAATTCAACCTGTTTCCGAAAATCTTCCATCTTAGAATAATCCAAAAGTTGCACATACCAGTTCCTTTTCGACAGTTGTAGAAATAAGATATTTTGGGATCTTGTTCGATTTTTTAATTTTTAACATAAATTTTTAACGTGTAAGTTTATTGTAACAATTTTCTTGTAAATTTTAACAATGCTGAGAGAAATTCGAAAGTGGAACATCTTAACATGCGAAATTATTATACCACGCAGCTACTATTAATTGACGGTAAATAATTTTCTCATGTTTATGTTTTGTAAATTTAAAAAAATTTTTGCTCATGTTTTGTAGCAACAACCTGATGACGGAAATTTTTTCCGAAACCGGTAGTTGAGAACCAATAAATTTCATTCTTCGGAATTTTAATTAATTTTTTATATTTAACATTACTGACCGAAGTCAACAATGGAGTCCTTTATCAAACTACTATGTTAAGATTCCCTTCGTCCCTAAGTTGACTGATAAACTTGTTTCAGTTCTGAGGTTTGACTCGATTAAGTTTGCTAAATGTAACTCTTTACCTTTATCCACTTGTTTTTCGAGGACTAAAGATCCAGTTCTTAAAAGTCTACAATCTAATGTCATTTATAAGATTCCTTGCAATAATTGTGAAAAGACGTATATAGGTACTACCAGTCAGTATTTTGATGTTAGGATCAAACAACATAAACGTGATTGTCAGTCTAGAGATGAAAATAAGAGTGCGTTGGTTCATCGCCATGTTCTCAGTGGTCACCATTTTAATTTTGAGAATTCTCAGATTGTGGATAAAGAATCAATTTATTCTAAAAGATTATTCTTAGAGATGTTTTACATTAATAAAGAGGTTAATTCCTTGAACTTCAGAACTGATACCCAGAACCTTAGTTCTATCTACAGTTACCTTGTTATGAAGGACTGGGGTAGAAGGGATCAAACATTGGTGGAGAGTGATTCTCTTGTTTTCTAGTTGTTTTCTCTGATTTTGGTGTATTGGTTTTCCTTTTCAAATTTCAAATTTTCAATTTCATTCCCCCTGTCAACGCCACCTGGTGGATGTTTATTGGTGTATTTAGTATTTTGCCGGGACGACGGTTGGTCAGCCTCGTTTCTTTCCAGTTTTTTGTGGTATTAAAAACTTGCGTGACTTATTGCTTCTTAACTTTTAACGTAGAATTTTAACGTGTTCTTAATATTGTAAATAATACTTAATTTAATAGTTTCATAATTAACCTTTAAAAAAGTTTTTAGTGTTATTTGATCTTTAATTCGTCACCTTTTGTGAATTATGAGAAGTATAGTTTTAATAAAAGATGTCTAGTGTTCAATTTTTGCGACCTCATGTTTAGCTTTGGTACAGTTCCATGTGCAATCCATTTTTGCAAGTTGTTAAGATACATTTTTTGCGAATTATTATAACTTTTGTTGTTTCAATATTGTAGTTACCCTGAAGAAGGAAAAATAAAATTTCCGAAAGCTCGGTAAAGATAAAAGGAAGCCTCTTTTCAATTATCTAGCCTTGACGTGTTGGTCGTGTATCCCAATAAATTACTTTAGTTTGACGTTCATTAATTAAACGAGTGAGATGTTGCATCGACATGGATGGTGGAATTTTTGAACAATACTTATAACCTTTTTGGTGTTATTTGTTAAAAATTTAAGCGCTTTTTGTTAATGTTTTAAGTTAAACTTTTTATTTTTGTTTAAATTAATACACATGTTTGTGTGCAGTATTTTGCTTAGTATTATTTATCTTGAAATTGCGCCCCTATCCCTTATTTCCGCAACTGCACATACCTTCTAATTTTTCATTCGATTATCGTATTCGCCCCGTAAAAATAGCTAGATATGCAAAATTTCGTGTTTCTAACCCTAGTAGTTTTTGAAATAATGAGAAATAACCACATATTGAACTTCTTCTTCAAAGTGCTCTACCTCCCTTAGGAAGCATTTTAGGACACACCTTTATATGAACTTTTCTTCATGATTTTTTATGTAGAATAACACCTTTAAGTATATGATCGCAATTTCCGGACATCCTGTATATTGACAATTAATTATAACAAAAACGATAAATTTGTCGGGGTTAACGGTCAAAATGATGATTAATGAAACAACTTTCTAAAAGTGCTGATATTTCGATTGTTTATTCAATCTTCCTCAGAGCTATTCAAGATTTACCTTATTCAGCTTTACCTTTCAATATCTTCAGTGGTTTTAGTAATAAGTAATAAGATTTTTAATGATGTAAAAAAGGTTAATTGTAAAAAGTTTAACTTCCTATTGTCCAAGTCCAAAGGAAGATTTAAGTTCTTTAATGATAATAAAAAATGGTTGGTCAACTTGACATCGACGGATGTTCCTGTGGAGGTTGCTACCCTACTGTCACTAGGTCCTAAATTTCATCTTCCAGTTAACAACTACAATTTCAATCTAAAAAGATTATTAATGTTTTTGGAAAATATATTATATGAATTGAGAGTAAAAATAACAAAAATATTGTAAGGGGTAAAATAACTAATATTATCACGAACTTCATGGGTTCCGGTACGATGTGTGATGGGTTGCATATTTTGATACAAAAAATGTTAATTAAAACAAAACTTTTTCTAAAAGAGAATCCTTCTTTACTGATCACCAAAGCGGATAAAGGTGCTACAACAGTTATCCTTGATAAGAATGATTATCTAAAAAAAGCTAAAGATATGCTAAATGATGTTAATGTAATAGTAACACCTTGTCCTCGGACCAAAAGAAAATCAATGATTTTATAAAATCTTTATATAACAAAAACTACATTAACATTACAACAATGAAAAAAATTGAGAACAAATAATTCCATTCCAGCTAAAGCATATTTTTTGCCTAAGATCCATAAAGAGGGTGTTGTTCTATTGAGACCTATTATTTCTTCAATTGGCACCACATCGTATGGCTTGTCGGGACACATGGCTGATATTTTGAGTCTAGCATTTTGTGGTAGAACTACTTATAATATTACGAATACTTTTCAATTTGTGGAAGAGTTTAGGGGTTACAGCCTCCAACGGGACCATATCCTGATCTCACTTGATGTTGTGAGTTTGTTTACTGTTATACCTTTGGATTTGGTAAATAGGATTGTTGAGGAAAGATGGGACTTAATAACTGAAGTTTGTTGTTGGGATAAAGATATATTTGTATTGGGTTTAAAAACACTTTCTGAGAAATCTAAGTTTACTTTTGATAATGTGACCTACAAACAAATTGAAGGTACCCCTATGGGATCAAAATTGTCACCAATTTTAGCTTTGATAGTGATGAACTACGCGCTGGACGAGATATTGACTAAAAATAATTCTGTTTTCCGTATTCAATAACAAAGATGATTTAATTCTGGGAGTTCATGGGGAGGATGTGGATGTCATTTTGACGTGTTTCAGTAATTTTCATCAGAGTATTCAATTTACAATCGAAAGGGAAGTTAACAACAGTTTACCTTTCCTTGACAATAAAGTTATTCGCGATTCTGATAATAACATTCAGTTTAACTGGTATGTAAAGCCAACATACTCAGGACGGTATTTAAACTA